TTGTTATTACATAGGGTTTTTTAGTAAAAGTCACTGAAAAGTAAGTCATTTTTATTTTGGATATATGTTTCCAACAGTATCCTATTTGGCAAGAATTGGCAGTTTCTGTGTTTGTTTTTTGTTAATAGTTTATATTTTTGGCATATTCTCTTTACCACAGAATGCCTTCTGGATAAGGATATTTTCAAAACAGTACCTTAAATATGATCATTTATGTTAATGAACCAGTGTAGAAATGTGTTTGTAATTTTATGGATTGGGTTTTCATGGAAATTTCAAATTTGAACAGTAATTTAATGGTGAAGATATATTTAGTGAGAGGGGATTCTCTGAACTGTAGAGAATAATTCTTTTTGTCTTTTTTTTCTTCCCAATATTGCTTGGCTAAGAGAATTATCCAGTTCAAGGAAGTTCTGTCTTTGTCTTAGGTTCATAGAAAGTTTAACTGTTACTAGATCATATTTTATAATGTAAAAGAAACTTAGTTTTTTTCCTCTCTTAACCAAGTAGGGCAAGCTGTGATAATGTGAAAAATGTACAAAAATAGTTATTGTTAATTCATTTAGTGCAAAAGCTGGTTCTTCACTAAATTGGGGCATTAATAAAATGTTTTATTGTATTGGTTAATTTTATGTCCTGTATCTTTTAGGGTTGTTTTTTTGTAGAAGAACGGTTGCTAGTATTAATGGTTTAAAAATGTTTGGGCTGGGGGTTTAGCTTAGTGGTGCCACTGCCTGCCTCGCAAGCACAAGGTTCTGAGTTCAATCCCCGGTACCAAAAAAATAAAATAAATAAAATTAATTATTCAATATCTAAAATAAAATTTTATATGATTAACCAAAGTCCTACATCAGAATGTTGGAGAGGCATAGAGAATTAGAGAAAAGTAACCTATAACATTTTAAATTTATTTTATATTTTAGTGAACTTTGAAATCTTCATGTACTTACTTACTTATTTAGAGACAGGGTCTCACTGTGTAGCCCAAGCTGGCCTCAAACTCATGGCAGTCCTACCTCAGCCTCCTAAGTGCTGGGATTTATAGGTGTACACTAACACACCCAGCTCTTCATTTTATTTAATAAGGCAGATGCTAGGTTTTATATTCCTTTTTACGTTGGCACCTGGACCAGTAACTACCTGCAAAGGAAAATGAAGGAATTTGATAATAGATAATGTGGAGTTTCTTCATTGAACAATTGACATGAATCCTAGCTTGGACAAGTTTACCAGTTTTTTAAAAAATGGCCAGGCATGCCAGGAATTTAGCTCAGTGGCACTGCACCTATCTTGCAAGCTCAAGGTCCTGAGTTTGATCCCCGGTACTGCAAAAAGAAAAAAAAGAAAAGGCCAGATGTGAGGCTGATGCAAGAGGATCACCATGAGTTCGAGGTCTGCTCTACATAGCAAGACCCTGTCTTAAAAAAAAGTATTCTGTAACTGTACATTGTTACCCATAAATTATTTTTCTTCCATTGAATTCTTTTAAAAATATGAGAACAGTTTTGCATTTTGTGGAGAAGTTCAGGTGTACATAGCCTTCAAAGGATGTAATAATGGTGCATAGCAGTGCTGTGTATTTATTTTTGAGACACAGGGTCTGGGTATGTAGTTCAGGGTGGCCTTGAGCTCACTAGGTAGCCCAGGCTGGCTGCATGGTGTTCTTCCTGTCTCAACCCAGTGCTGAGATACAGGCGTGCACCACCATACTGGTTTACTGGCACTGTTATAAAAAGCTTAGTAAATATAACCGGGCATTGCCCATATAAAAGATACTTATGATTTTAGTATCTGCTATTGTATATTTTAACCACAAATTGAATAAAATTGATAATGCTAATTTGTTCATTATTCTTGAACAGTTAATTTCTATATCCTTTGTCAGATGCTGTCTCAGCAGGGATGGAGAGATTAAAGAATATACTACTTGTCTTCAAGCTGCAGATTCTAGATAGAGACACAAGAGATAAACATTGTCTATAACATTGCAATAAATGCTGGATAATAAGCACAGAGTAGTACTACAGAAAGAAGGATTTAAACAATTTCATTGTGGCTATGGGGGAGAGAACAAGTGGAAAGGTAGTGAGGAAAGGCTTCTTAATAGGATAACATTTAAGTTGAGCCTTGATTTTAGAGAAATTGAGAAAGGCTGAGGGTGGCAAAATACATGAAAATCCTTCAGAGCTAACCATAGTATGCATATTGTGGCATAAGGATATGTGGGTTTGGAAGAAATTGTATGCCTTCCTCAAAAGTAGAAGGTCCTGAGTTTGATCCCCAGTACTAAAAAGAAAGAAATTGTAAGTCATTGAAATGGCTGGATATCTGGAGGGTTTGAGGTTTAGGATGAGAGCAGTAAGCAGGATCCAAATCATGGGGCCTTTATATCATGTTAATGAGTTCAGATTTTATTGTGAGGACAAAGGAGAATCATTGAGTGACAATAGGAGTGCTATGATTTGATCTATAGTTCAGTAATTAAGGTTGTCTGAAAAGTGTGGGGGTAGAATTGACAGAACTCTCCTTTGACCTTCCAACTTCAATCCAATACCAACTATCATCAACAGAGAAGTCAAAAACATCTCATATTTCTGGCGTAGGAAACCAGGGTAGGAGAGGAACCATATGCTCTGTAGTACTGAAAGTCTGAGTATATCAAAAATATACTCAGTGAAGCCACAAGTAATTACTTGCACCAAAAGTATTACAAATATATTGCTTGTTCAAATTTTTGTAGAGTTGTTACTTTGAACAAAATGACATATAAATAAAGCAGGCTACAGACATTAATTGTCTCTTTTACTTTGATGAATTCATATATCTCACAAATTATACTAATATCCAAATCTGGTTACAGTGGGTACTCAGAAAACTGATGAGTTGAATCAATAATAACAGAGGATCAGTATTGTGTAATACTTTTTAAGTCTTTAAAGTTGTTTTACATCTTTTTATTTTATTCTCAGTAATTTCCTATATAGTAAACTACAGGACTTACAGCTTTTTTTGTTGTTATTTTGTTTTCTGTTTTTTGAGACAGGGTCTCTCCATGTCACCCAGGCTGGCCTCAAATTGGCAAACACCCTCCTGCCTCAGTCTCCCAAGTGCTGGTATTACAGCCTAGCTCACTTGTAATTTTTCAAAGTAAATTTGAATTCATTAGTCAAAATTTAAAATGAAGAGTTTTTCATATGAAAGTTTGAATGCCTTCATTTTCTTGAAAAAGATCTGGCATTTTATTTATTTATTTATTTTTTAGGTCCATTATTTCTACTCACTTAATAATTGGCTGGATTGGGTTATAGTTATTCACATTTTACTTGCCCAAGTTAATTCAGGTACCTGTCTGGCCTCTTATAGGCAGTTGGGTTAGTGACTCTTGTTAATCTTATTTATTGAGGTCTTTGAGAAAAGTGGTAGAGGAATAAATTGAGAAAGTGGATGCTAATTTTTGAATGTTAAAAATACTATCAATTAAGTGCTTACTAATGGTTACTTCATTACCTTACAGCATTGCTATTCCTGTTTTATAATTTTTTTTTTTTTGGTGCTGGGAATTGAACTTGGGACCTTGAGCTTGTGAGGCAGGGAGTGGCACTACTGAGCTAAATCCCCGGCCCCTCCTGTTTTATTTTTAAATTTAATTAGTTAGTTAATTAATTGATTTATTTATTGGTACCAGGGGTTGAACGCTGGTCCTTGAGCTTGTGAGGCAGGAGGCAAAATCACTGAGCTAAAACCCTGGCCTGCCCCTCCTGTTTTATAATTGAGAAAACTAATTATTAGTAAGTTACAAGTTAGTTTGCAACAGAACTGGATCTCATAGCTTCTAGATATAGTATTATTTTCCCACGTATACTGCCTTTTTTAGAATTTCTTGTTGAGCTATTTAGGCCGATGCAGTTTTTAATGATTTTTATCTTGTTGAATTATTCAATAATCCATTTTAGAGACACAATTTTTAGTAGTTTAATAACAGTATAAATAAAATTTGGTTTAGCAATTTTAGGTGAAAATACATGTATATAGCATACAGTAACAGCATTCTCTATTACTGTGATTTTATTTGCTGAGTTTTGGCAAAACTAAGCATCTTAGATATCTTTCATCATTGCTGGAAGTTATTTTCAAGTATTAAAAGTTCATTCAGGGAACATAAATTTGTCAGAGGTAAAATTCTTTTCAGGAATAATGATGCTAAATATAAATGTAGGTGGTTCTTAGGAAGATGGTTCTTTGATTTTCTAGAGATTACATGATTCTCAATAATATGATTATGGCAATTGAACTAATTTGATTATTCTTTTTCTTTTTTGGTACCAGGGATCGAACTCAGGTCCCTGCACTTGCGAGGCAGGCGGTGGAACCACTGGCCCCCTAATTTGATTATTCTTAAAACTGTTTAATCTTATAATAATATCTCTGTAGGTGTGGATATGTTTAGATTACTGTTTGAATACTTTGTTATTTGAGGAGAAACTCCATTCTAAGAAATGGAATCAGATAAATGAACATTTTTTTGCTTAAATTTGAAATTCATAAACCATTAACATTCATAAAGGAAGAAAGAATTACTATGAATGCAGTTACACTGAGAATGGCATCTGGGGCTGGGGGTTTAGCTCAGTGGTGCTGCTGCCTGCCTTGCAAGTGCAGGGGCCCAAGGAAATTTGATCCCTGGTACCAAAAAAAAAATGTGAATGAGAATGGAATCTAATTCCTAATTATTGGCAACAATCTGTTTATGAGTGGTGCATAAGGTACAGTATAGTGGCAGTGAGATACTGGACATGTGGCAAAGATGCAATCACTGACTGAGTGCCTGCATTAGTTGTCTTTCTTACCTGTCCTCTACAACTAATTAGGGCCTTTGAGGATGCTATAAAAATGGTTAATTAAAATGGAGAAAGGGATGTAGAAGGTTCATTAAGCATTGTCTTTTTAATTCTCATTTTAATCACTAGTAACTTGTAACTTATTTTCTTTTCTTTTCTTAGAATCTGTCAGGTGAAGGTGTATTTTTGTTTTTTTAATTTGGTTAGAAACGATTTATTTTTAAAGAAAATATGTCTCCTCTGAAGATACATGGACCTATCAGGATTCGAAGTATGCAGACTGGGATCACAAAGTGGAAAGAAGGATCCTTTGAAATTGTGGAAAAAGAGAATAAAGTCAGCCTAGTAGTTCACTACAATACTGGAGGAATTCCAAGGACGTTTCAGGTATTAACCAAATTTTTATTTGGAATGTTTTTTTTTTAATAGATCTTTTAGTAAATTGCTGTTGTGTACTATAGTAAGCATCAGAGTAGCCCTTCTTGCTTCTTTCCAGGACACTAATACTTTTGTGTATGTGTTTTATAAATTATTCAATAACATTGTTGGCTCTGGATAATAGAGTGGGGAGTAGTCACCATTATTGAAAATAAATTAATGGAAAAGAACTTAGAAGAGTTTGGATACTATATCTAAGCATTTTAAAAACAACACTGGGACTCCCTTTGTTATTCCTTTTTTTTTTTTCATTAAACTAGATGATGGATTCATTCATCAGGATTTGGTATTAGGGTGTTTTGTTTTGTTTGTTTGTTTTCCTGAGACAAAATATTGCTATGCAGTACAGTCTGGCCCTGAATTCACTTTGTAGCCTATGTTGGCCTCAAACTTGGAGTCCTTCTGCCTCAGTCTCCCAAGTTCCCAAGTCCTGGGATTAGAGGCATACACTACCATACTTGGGTTACTGTTAGTTTTACTTTTTTGATTGTTTCTTTCTTTCTTTTTTGTTGTGGTTTTGGTTTTGGTTTTGGTTTTTTTGATGTTTGGGTTTTTTTTGAGACAGGTTCTCACTGTATAGGTCAGGCTGGCCTTGAACTCACTATGTAGCCCAGGCTGGCCTCAAACACACCGCCTCTGGCTAGTGTTAGTTTGAAGAGGATTTATTAATGCCTTCTAAAAGCCAGTTTCTACTTCCTAATTAATCCTGCCACGTGCCATAGGATGAACCATTCAAGGATGGATGTTCAAGGTCATCTAAACTATTTTCTTATAAAAATTCTGAAGAATTCTCATTGTCTTATTGGTATACGAAAGTTATTTTTTTCACTTCTGTATTAACTTCTCTTATGCCACCAAGAGTTACTCATCTTAATATGAGTTGAATTTAAGAAGATAATGTCTTACATTTTTTGTACTTTATTCTATATTGATTAGATTGTACAAAAATATTTTCTAAAGGGAAATATTTTGTTGAAGAACAGTGTATTAGAATCTGACCTGAAATAGAATTTCCTTCTGTCTCTACTATTGAACTGTGGAAAAAAATTGCTTGTGGTGTTATATGTCAAAGATAGTCTTAAATAAATTGCAGGTAGTCATGGGTAGTAGAAGCAATAGTAGTTTGTCATGTACTATAGGCTAATATAAATTGCTCATCTCAACAAAGGAACCAGTCACAGTGGTGCACAACTATAATTCCAGTACTCAGGAGACTGAGGTAGGAGGACCATGAGTTTGAGGCCAGCCTGGACTACTTAGTGAGATCCTAGCTCAAAAACAAAAACAAAAACTCAACAAAACCAAAGCCTCAAAGGTTTTTTTCCCAAAGATTCTTTTCTTTTTTTTTTTTAGTCTTCAGCCCAGGTTGGCATTGAGTATTCAAATATTTAAGCAAACATAGATCATTAGAAGTGTGATGATTAATTATATTTTCAATTACAGCCTTTTCTCAGTTTTATATCAGTTTACATTCAACATTCATGTGTTAACCACCTATAGGTTATAGTTGTGGATTCTGTGCTAAGGGCCAAGAATACAGCTTAATGAGACACCACTCCCCTGAAAATTAGAGTAACCAAGTGCATTTTCAGCTGTAAAAAATATTTCAAAGATACTGAGACAACACAAAAAAGTGAGTGGTTTTGTACCTTGAAGATTTAGAGGGTATATTGAAGTTTGCGAAACATAGTAAAGATAATGCATAAGTGATTTCTGTATATAGACAAACACATGTGAGTGTGAATCAACTCTCAGGAAACCACAGAGTTATTTTAAAATAAATGGGTAGTCTTGGACATGGTGGCACACACCTGTAATTCCCAGCACTCAGGAGGCTGAGATAGGAAGGATCACTGTGAGTTTGAGGCCTGCCTGAGCTACAGGGTGAGTTCAGGGCCAGCCTGAACTACATAGTGAGTGAGACCCTTGTCTAAAATACAGTATAATATAATACAATACAGTATAAACTAAATGGCTAGTGGGAGTTAGTAACAGAAGTCGAGGCTGAAGAGCTTTGATGCTTCTTGCTGGTCATGAGTGCTGAAGTTCTAAGGAGCCAAGGGTATCAAATTCCTATTCCTTTTGGGCTATGCACAATAATGAAAGATTAGGAAAGATATGCAGGAGGTTGTGGTGGAAGGTTAGATGAGGGTTGAAAGTCCTGAACAATGGGAAAATAGTGGAAGAAGCAAGGGAAAGAAGACTTAAGAGCCTGGGGAGATTTCCATATCTGAGATTTTGTGTGTGTGTGCGCGCCTTCCGTGAGAGGGAGCAGGGGGAAATATTAGGATGTGAAGATTGAGAGAGAGGAATTATCTCAGGTGTCAGAACTTTAGAAGGTAAACAGACCTGAAGTTCTAACAGAGAGGTCTGGTCTTCAGAAATAGGGGAGTCCTTACACAAGTGGTTACTAGAATTGTGAGGCTAGATAAGATTTTTAGTTGTTGAAGTGACCCAGCTCAGGATTGTTCTCATCTTACTTGTTAATGAATAAACTTTCCTGTTTATATTTAAGTAATTTTTTATTTTATTTTTTTGTTATTGGGGATCAAACTCAGGACCTTGCTTTTGCAAGGCATGCTCAGTGCCACTGAGCTAAGTCACCTGTAATTTTTTAAAATGATAATTGACTGAATAATGCCTTTATGTTACCTATGTTTGTATTTTACTAGAGAATTTCTACTGAAGGGCATGAATTTAAAATCTACTTTGAAGCTAAAAATAAATATATTCTTCACATATGAATATAAATTGGTATAATTGTTTTTCGTTCTTATCTAAAAATTGATAACAATTTTCCCTCATTAAAATTATGAGGCATTTTATTCTTTATACTGTTTAAAGGTTATGTCTTCAGCAAAAGACAGTTGTAGAAACCTTTGGTTATGCCTGCTAAGGGAGAATATTAGAGAACAGGTCTGCTTGTCTGATAGAAATTATTTAGGTAATGAAGAAACTTTTAAGATTCATTCATTTAGGGCGGGGTAAAAGATTAATTCGTTTAGCCTTGGGAAAAAATTTCATTCAAGAGAAAATAAAGGTATAGCACATTTCCAAAGGTATCAAGAGTCCCAAGATAAACCAGCTCTGGGGATTGTTACCATTAAGCTAAGAAAATTCTAAGATGCTTATATATGTTTTTGTGATTGAAGGGAAGTGTGTTTTCTTAAACAATTAAAAACAAAAAGTATTTTCTTAGTATTGGAAAAGCTTTGTTTTTGACATATGTTTTGAGAGTTTGGAATTTTTTTGAAGTTTGTAATTTGAATTTATATTCCTTTTATATTGCAGGTATCTAAACAATTTGCCAAATACCTTAACAATTTAAGGAAGAAAAGATGAATTTAATTTTATTTTCTATACTGGAGATAGTATAATCATCTTGGCTCTGAAAATTTTTGACTTTTTTATCCTTGATATAACTTTAGAACCATATCTGAAAATAGAGTTATCTGCCTATAAGATCAAGAGATTGTATTACTCTGTAAAATGAGTTTTAGTAGTATATCTTTGTTTCTTCTGAAAGTTAAGTCTTTGAGTTAATTGTATCAAGAAATGGTGGTGGTGCACACCTGTATGTAATCCCAGAGTTTGGGAGGCTAAGGCAGGAGGATCACTGTGAAATAAGAATGTATGAGAATTATAACTTGGAAAGTATGAAGTTTAGTATTCATTACACACCTCAGTTATACTTTATTATCACTTTTTATGATACTTTTCCTTTTTATTTTTATCAGCTAAGTCATAACATTAAAAATGTGGTGCTTCGACCCAGTGGAGCAAAGCAGAGCCGCCTAATGTTAACTCTACAAGATAATAGCTTCTTGTCTATTGACAAAGTACCAAGTAAGGATGCAGAAGAAATGAGGTTGTTTTTAGATGCAGTCCATCAAAACAGACTTCATACAGGTGAGCGCTTACCATGCCAGGGTCTGATATTAGCAGTTTTAAGACTATGACTTTTTGATCCCCAGTACAAAAAAAACAAAAACAAAACAAAAAATGGAAAAAGAGACTATGACTAGACTACAGACCAATAATCTTAATGAATAATAGTGCAAAAATTCTCAGCAAAATACTAGAGCTCATTTCAGTAGCACAGTAAGAATTGTACACCATAATTGAGGATTTATTCCTGGAATGCAAGGATGTTTCAACTGTGAAAGTCAGTCTGTTTTATATACTCATTAACAGAATGAAGGACAAAAGCTACATGATATATCAATTGGTACAGAAAAAGCATTTGACAAAACTTACCACCCTTTATAATGAAAACATTCAGCAAATTTAGCGAAGCAGGAAACCAATATAATAAAGGTCGTATGTGAAAAGCCCACACAGATAATGTGTGAGAAACTAGAAATTTTTCCTTTAAGATCAGTAACAAGACAAGGATGCCTTCTCTTTCTAGTTTTGTTTCGCATATTAGTCTTAAACATATTTTTTATATTTAATTCATATCTATATTTGACATCATTTTTTTATAAAACAAAACCTTTTTGTGGTTGTTTGCCATATAGAACCTACTCATATGTTCATGCCACCAAATCTGAACTGTGTCAGTTTACTAAACAAATTTTGGAATCAAGAAATTGAGCACAATGTTACTTAAAATTCTCACAATATTTTTGGAACTATGTCTATATTTCAGTTTTTGTCTTATTCTACCATACCCATCCTATTAATTGCATCACTGTCTTCAGGATTGGTGTAAGAAAAAGCATGTCTTTAAATGCATCAGAGCTGGATGGCACAGTAGACTAGGAAGCCAAGCTTGAACAACATGTTGTAGTGGAAACCTATTTTATCCCTGAACAGACTTGGGTTTTATTCTAGCTCTGTTATTTCCTGTGTCATTTTGGGCCAGTCACTTAACAGCTGAATTTTAGTTTCCTCATCTCTAAAATGAAAGTTATATCACCTTAACTTCAAAGCTTTTTAAAGAATGTAAAGCCTGACTGGCACATGATGGGTTTAGTTATATAGCTGCCCAAAGGTAATACATACTTTGCAGGAACTGGAGTAAGATGATGAATATAAAAATATTTCAAAAAAATGTTATTATTATTATTATTATTATTATTTTTTTTTTTGTACTGGGGATCAAACTCAGATCCTTGCTCTTGCAAGGCAGGTGCTGGAATCACTTAGCTAAATCCCCAGCCCTAAGGTATTTTAGTATTTAAGTGTGGTACTCAAATCAGTGGAAAAAAGAGTAACATTTGATAAAGTGTTCTTTATAAATAAAATGACTAACCATTTAAGAAAGTTCTGAAGATGGATCCTTTTTCTCTCTCTTATCAAAATAATTTCAGCTCAAAGATTTGAATATAAAAAAATTAAAATATTAAAAAGGGAATGGAATCTAACATAATACTGGGATGGAAAAGACCTTTCAGAATATACATAAACCTGAAATCAGATCTGAGCTAGAAACAAACAGATCTAGAATCAGTAAAAGATAGATAACTTATACTGTTAAAAAATTTAGTCAGTATCTGTGATGAAGGGGAAAAAAAGACAAAATGTTAGCCAGTGATAATCACAGTTATAGATAAATATCATTGATATGCAAAGACATTTTACAAATTGTTAAAGGCAGGCTAATAAGGAAATGGACAAAAACTGCAAATAAAAAATTTGAGGAAGAAAAATAGTGTTTAATCATGAAAAAAATTCTTAACTTCAGTAATTCTTGCTATCACATTGGTAGCAGTGTGAAGGGAAATGAGATAATGATCATATATTTGATAGGTTTATCAAATATTTTTGATAAATTTTTGAAGGTCTTTGTGGCACTGTCAGTTTAATTTAAAATTATATGTCCATTAACCCAGAAATTTTTATTCTGAGGAATTTGTTCTATAAAAATCATGCCATTGGGCCGGGGATTTAGCTCAGTGGTGCCACTGCCTGCCTTGCAAGTCCCAAGTTCAATCCATGGTACCAAAAAAAAAAATTATTGCATTAGTACAAGAAGATAATGTGAAAGGATGTTAAGCATTGTTTGCAGTTTTGAAAAACTAAAACATCCCAAATGATCATCAGTGGGAGATTTGCAAACTAAATTGAAATACTTTTTAAACTATATACAAATTCATATTTACATATAGCATGAATTTCTTTGGAATGGAAGGCATTTATTTGCTAAATAAATTTAACAATTTTAAGCTAAATTTATTTTTAACCGATAAAAATTGTACATATTTATGCGGTACCATGTCATATTTACATTCTGATTAATATACATTGACTTGTAGAGCATGCTTTGGAATATATGTTGTTGGAGGTGTACCTGTCATCTCTCCTGACATGTTTCCTTGGCATCCAGTGTTGGTGTTCATGTTCTAGAGCAGAGGTGGTGAACCAGTGGCACACATGCCTCAACAGGCTGTTTGTATTATTGAAAGTTCTAAAAGTTCACCATCACTGCTCTAGATACATAATGGCTAACTCAATTATAATGTTAATTACCGATGATTCTATAAAATTTTTAGCATTTTCCTTTTGGTTTGTAAATTTTATCTATTACATGTTCTTTCTTTTTTGCTTGAGAGTTTAGCTCTATGTTTTTATTACTCTATGTCTTAGAGATGTACATTCTATCAGAAAAACTTGGTTATCTTTTCCCTAATTTTTTGAAGTCAGTGATTTGTTTTTTGTTTTGTTTTTATTTGATTTTTTTTTTTTTTTTTTTTTTTTTTTTCCAGCCATGAAACCTTCTCAGGGTTCTGGTAGTTTTGGAGCCATTCTGGGTAGCAGGGCCTCACAGAAGGAAACGAACAGGCAGCTTTCTTACTCAGATAATCAGGTATGTTTGAATCCTTTTAAGCTTTGTAAAAAAAAATGTTAGTTATAGACAAGCATAGTGGGTAGCTGCAGAGAGTAGAATTCAGTCTGTACTATATAATATTTCTGGCATTGTCACAAGGTTATCTTCCACATAGCTGAGATGTATCATTTGGCTTTCTTGATCTCTTGAAGTATTTTCATGAAAATTTGTACAGTTTTTCACATCTCTTCCTACATATAATTTTACTAAACAACTCTTGTTTAATGTCTTGTGGTCAGCATTATAAATCACAGTAATCTGTAGTTTTTAAAAGTATAGCTTTTGCTAGGCATGGTGGTGCTCACCTGTAATCCTAGCACTCAGGAGGCTGAGGCAAGTGGATCACTTTGAGTTTGAGGCCCTCCTGGAATATAAAGTGAATTCAAGGCCAGCCAAAAGTACATGGCAAGACCATGCGAGTGAGTGACTGAATGAATGAATGAATGGCTTTAGAATTAGGTGTGGGTTTAAGTGTGGTGATGCCACTTGCTAGCTGTGGATCATTGGGAAAATTCCTTAAGTATCCGGAGTCTTAGTACCTATCTATAAAATTGAGACTGCAATAATATTTTTAAGGGTTACTATAAGATAGTACATATAAAAGTATTTAGCTCAATTTATACTATCCCATCTACTAACAGCCCTAGAAGTATTAAGCACAGTATCTTTATACTCTTTAGGTCTGTTCTGTTTTGTGAACTTAGCCTTTTTGTTTGTTTTTAAGACAGAATCTTGCTATGTAGTCTAGACTGGCCTTGAACTTTCTGTCTGGCTAGCCTCAGATTTGCATCAGTCCTTCTACCTCAGCCTCCCAAAGTGCTAGGATTACAGTTGTGTACCACCACACCCAACTTTAATTTTGCCTTTACACTTTATGTTTTGTTGAGATGTTCTATTTGCTTTTTTATTTCTTCATTCTTTTTTGAAATTTTTATTTTATTTTTTGAGATCTGGTCTTACTGTGTGGTCCAGGCTGGTCTTTGACTTGTAGCAATCTTCCTGTCTCAGCCTCCTGAGTGCTGGGATTACAGACATGCATTAGCATGCCTGGCTGTTTTTACTTTTTAAATTTCTTTTGTATTAGTACATGCTTGCAGTGCATAATGATTATATTCACTATAGGGAATTTGTACATGTACACAATATCTTTTTTTAAATAGTTTTTCTTTTGTGCATATAATTCAGCCAGCTGTAAGACTTGCTGTATATCAATAAATAATCTTACTGCAATTTAGCAGACCTTTTCTCTCATATTAAATATTTTACAAAAGAAAGCTAGTCATATAAAGTCAGAGAAACTTTGAAATTCTTCTATGAGTAAATTTATTAGTTGTGTTTGGCAGTGTAGAGAGGTCATTACTTAGTTCATATACTGGACTAAGCAATAAATAAGATTTAAACCGGGCTTGGTGGCGCACACCTGTAATCCCCGCACTCAGGAGGTTGAGGCAGGAGAATTGCTATGAGTTCAAGATCAGCCTGAGCTACATAGTTCCAGATCAGTCTCAACTACATAGTGAGACCCTGTCTCAAAAAATCAAAAACTAACTAACTAAATAAATAAGATTTAACTTTTGTTAGGTTCTTTTCATAGATTAGGATTTTGGGAGACATTTTTATTGGTACATAACTGGTATGGAGTAAATTGTACATATTCAAGGTCTAACTAAATGCATGTTTCCTTCTGTTTTCACTCCTAAAATCATTACCATAAACAGTTCGGTGAACTTGCGATAATCCTTGTAAGTTTCCTCATCCTCCTTTGTAATATCCCCACCCCATTGCTGTCTGGAAACAACCACAGGTGTGCTTCCTGTTACCCTAGATTAGGTTGTACCTTTTGGAGTTTTTTTTTTTTTTGTAACGGGGCTCAAACTCAAGAACTTGCACTTGCCAGGCAGGCATGGCACCACTGAGCTACATCCCTGGCCCAGTTTTTGGAGTCTTACACACTTAGAATCTGTGTGTGTGTTGCTGTTGTTCTTTTTTTCTCTAGGAGATGGGAGAATCTGGCTTCTTTTTCCCAGCATAATTTTTTTGAGATTTATACAGTTGTAGGTAGGAATTTCAACTGTTAGAATACTACTTAAATGCATAAACATATGTAGCCCATGCAAATATATATATATATGTATGTATGTATGTATGTTTATATCTGTGCCCAAATAGTTCCCATTTGTGGGAATATACGTGTACAATTTTCTGGACTGTAACTAGCATTAAAGGAAAACAAAATTATGGATGATTTTGTGCATTTTAAGGATAAATATTTTTGTACCTAGAAAATCTAAAAGGCTATATAAGGTGGTAGAATGCAAAGCGGGAGAACTGAGTGGTTGGGGTGATAGTGAACCTTTTCAGTCTGTGGCAGTTGTGTTTTGTTTGTTGTTCTTTTGGTTGGTTGGTTAGTTGTTTTTTGAGACAAGGACTCACCGTGTAGTTCAAGCTGGCCTTGAACTCACTTTGTAACCCATGCTGGCTTTGACTTGGCAGTTCTCTTGCCTTAGCTCCTGAGTGCTGGAATTATAGGTGTACACCACCACACCCAGCAGTTTGTGTCTTTTGCTATTGAATTTATGAACAGTGATTCTGGTTTTTCCAACGCCAGACATAAAACCTGGGCCTTGTGCATGAGAGGCAAGCTCTCTACCACTGAACTACATCACCTGTTTAAAAATCAGTTAACTGAGCTCGAGATTGAGTTCAGTGGCACCATGCCTGCCTCATAAGTGCAAAGTTCTGAGTTCGATCCCCAGTACCAAAAAAAAAAAAATCTGTTTACTTTTTTAAACCATTCATCCAGGTGACTTAGGGTTTTTTTCCCCCCTAAATTTAAGATGGAATGATTTTTGGTTTTGGCAGTACTATGCAAACCACTGAACTATCTTCCCAGCCCTTTTCATTTGAGATAGGGACTTACTAAATTTCCCAAACTGATCTCAAACTCACAGCCCTCCTGACTCAGCCTTCCAAGTGCTCGAATTACAAGCGTGTGCCACCCCATCCAGCATTTTATTTTTGATTTTTTGAGACAGGGTCTTGCCATGTAGTTCAGGCTGATTCAAGGTGATCCTCCTGCCTCAGCCTCTTGAATGCTGGGATTACAGGTATGTACAAGCATACCTGGCATTAAACATATACTCTTAACACGGTGTATATTCAGTCCTGGTCTCTACTTCTTAACATTGTATTTTTTTCCCCAGAGATCGTATGTTGATCTCTAGAACTGTCTTTTCTTAAAAATTAATTATTCAGCTGGGGATTTAGCTCAGTGGTTCTGGTGCCTGCCTCACAAGCACAAAGGCCTGAGTTCAATCCCTGGTACCAAAAAAACACACAAAAAAAGAATTATTTAAAATAGGGTTTTTCCCTAGTACCCACCCCCAATAGGGTTTTTGCTTTCTACTTCCAGGTATGCTATAGAATTTTTAAGGATACTATAGGAAAGTAAGTGTCAAGTTCAATTTCTCATACTTGGCTATACATTGAATCATACAGAGTGCTTTTAAATATATATGTGTGTGGTGGCACATGCCTATAATCCCAGCACTTTGGGAGGCTGAGGCAGGAGGATTGCCATGAGTTTTAGGACAGCTTGGACTATATAGAGTTAAAAGCCGGCCTGAGCTACAGAGTGAGACCTTGTCTTATAAAACCAAAAAAATATGTATGTTTGTATGTATAGGAGCTAGACTGTAACTCAGTGGTAGAGCACTTCCCTAGCATACAAGAGGCTCTGGGTTTGATCCAAGCACTGCCAAAAAACAGTTTCTGTACACACAAATGAATGGGTCACCCCAGACCAATTAGACTACAATCTCTGGAAATTAGTGTCTCTAGTTTTTTGTTTTGTTCAAGTTCCCCACATAAGAATCACTGATCTTAAAAGTATTGTAATTAATTTCAAGATTGAACTATTGCAAACTTTATTCTTTCAGACCTCGTCAAAAAGGGGAAGTTTGGAAACTAAAGATGATATTCCATTTCGAAAAGTTCTTGGTAATCCAGGTAGAGGATCCATTAAGACTGTATCAGGAAGTGGAATAACTGTCACCCGGACGATTCCTTCTTTGACAGCTACATCAACACCTCTTAGATCAGGGTTATTAGAAAACCGGTAGGAAAGATATTTCTTACTTATTCAATTTAATTGTTTATAAATGTTTTTAGGCCTTTTAGAAATTTTGAGGATATGATTTTTATAGTTAATTTCAAATATTTGTCTTACGTAGTTTGTCATTGACTCATCTTGAGCCTGCAGATAATGCAGCATATTAATTTAAATAGGTGTCGAGAGATGCAGATGAACACAACACTGAGATTCCACCTCACTCCAGAAAGAATGGCTGCATGAAATCAACCAATAACAAATGCTGGTGGGGCTGTGGGGAGAAAGGATTTCTTCTTCATTGTTAGTGGGAGTGCAGACTGGTGCAACCACTGTGGAAATCAATATGGAGATACCTCAGACAACTAGGATTAGAAGTTCCATTTGACTCAACTTTCCCTCTGCTGGGTATCTTCCCAAAAGAATTAAAAGAATCATACCACAGTGATATATGTGCACCCATGTTTATAGCGGCACAGTTTGTAATAGCTAAAATTTGGAAAGCCCAATTGCCCATCAGCTGGAGACTGGATAAAGAAGATGTGGGTTGTTTTTTTTAAATAAAATGGAGTACTAAGCCATAAAGAATGAGAAGCTAGAGACATTTATAGCTAAGTGGATGCATATTGAGGCCATACTCTTAAGTGAAATAAATAGGACACATGTGTAAATACTGAATAGTTTCTCTGGTGTGAAAAACTAAAAGTGTAAATAAAGATCACAATGAATAATTGATATTGTGAAATGGGAAGAAAATATGTAAAGAAGTAGAGAAAGTGGGAGGGGTAGGGGAAAGAAAAGAAGGGAAAAGTAAAAAGATGGGAAAAGGGAAAAAATGGAAACAAAGTCTTTGTAAATAGGAAAGGGTGGAGGGGTTGAAGGGAAGCCAGGGGAATGGGGAAAATATAAGAACCAAGATACATCATGTAAAGGTACATGATCCCAATGATGAATGTAACTGTACTGTGTACCTAAAATGTACCAATAAACTCAATAAAAGAAAAACTTAATGGGGAAAAAAATGTAGTGTAGAGAATTAGATAGCAGTAGTCACATTCCATATCCTTGAATATGTTGCCTTATAATTTTTGACGATATAAGAATTATGACTTTTGAAAAATAACATTTCTTCTCTCTTGCTCTGTAGCACCGAAAAGAGAAAAAGAATGCTATCATCTGACTCAGAGCTGAATGAAGATTACCCTAAGGAAAATGATTCATCGTCGTAAGTTGCTTTAAGAGCCTTTAAGGCACTAGATTAGTTTCTTCCACTGATAGTTATAAGCATTAGGAGATATTAGAGGAATCTTCAATTGGTAGGACTTCCAAAAATAAATCATAATTTAAAGTATTTTGAGGACAGTAGGTTTTGTGCTCAGTGGGGAAGGAATTAGGCTACTATTATATTGCTTTTGTCATTTCATTGCACTTCTCCTTTCTTGCCATTTTAAAAATTGTGCGATATTTAGAATAGAGCTGAAGAATTTGGTAAACAAATGTTTTTTGCTGCTCTTTTAATGTGAACCCTTTCGTCTTTCCTTCATCCTTAACTACTATATCTTTTTACCTAACTTGAATAAAAAGTCAGCCTGAAAAGAATATGAGTCCCACATAGCTACTAGACAAGGGGCATTAATCTTTCGAAGGAGTATTTCTCAGGCATGGTGGTTCATGGCTGTAATCCGAGTAGCTAGGAAGCAGGGGCAGGAGGATCACCATGAGTTTGAGGCCAGCCTGCAGTACAAAGCGAGACCTTGTCCCACAAAAACCAAACCAAACCTTGTTTCAAAAAAATATCGAAGAATTGAACTCAGGACCTTGCAATTGTGAGGCAGGTGTGGTGCCATTGAACTAAATCCCTGGCCCATAAGAAGTATTTCTTGAGTTGAACAAAAGAGAATAGATGTGCAACAGAGCTATCACTGGCTCATAATCCTCACATCTTTATTTTATTTTTCTCATTGAGTTTATTGGTACATTGTAGGTATACAGTACAGTTACATTCATCGTTGGTTACATGACAGGTCTTGGTTCTCATTTTTTCCCCTTATCCCTGTCCTCCCTTCACCCCCTCCTCCCTTCCCTATTTACAAATACTTTATTTCCATTTTTTCATTTTCTCAAGTTTTTTTTTTCTTTTCCCTTATTACTTTTCCCCTACCCTTCCCACTTCCCCTACACTTTTAGCCCTTTTCTTCATATTTCACATTGTCAATTATACCATTGGGATCTTATGTACCATTATAGTTTTCACACCAGAGAAACTATTCAGTACTTATACATGTGTGACTTACTTATTTCACTTAGGAGTATACCCTCAATATGTATCCATTTTCCTATGAATGACTCTAATTTCTTGTTCTTTATGGCTATTATTCCATTTTATAGAAAAACCACATCTTCTTTATCCAGTCTCCAACTAATGGGCAAATAGGCTGTTTCCAAGTTTTAGCTATTACAAACTGTCCTGCTATAAACATAGGTGCACATATATCACTGTGATATGATTATTTTGGGGGGTTCTGGGGATAGAACTCAGGTCCTTGTATTTTTAAGGCACCGGCGGAACCACTGAGCTAAATCCTCCGCCCAAAATTTTTTTTTTTTTTTTTTTGGTATCAGAGATTGAATTCTGGCCTTAAGAACCACTGAGCCAAATCCCTGGCTCTAATATGATCCTTTAATTCTTTTGGAAAGATACCCAGCAGAGGGATAGCTGGGTCAAATGGAACTTCTAATCCCAGCTCTTTGAGGTATCTCCATATTAATTTCCATAGTGGTTGCACCAGTCTACACTCCCACCAACAGTGGAGAAGGGTTCCTTTCTCCCTTTCTCCCCACAACCCCGCCAATTTGTTGTTGGTGGATTTCTTGATAGCACCCATTCTTTGTGGGGTAAGGTGGAATCTCAGTGTTGTTTTCATCTGCATCTCTCGAATGACCAGTGATGTGGAACATTTTTACATATATTTACTTGCTGCTTTTACTTCTTTGTCTGAGAAATATCTGTTCTTTTCACATGCCCATTTTTGAATTGGGTCTTTATATTTGGGGGGGCTGGTTTTTTTGAGTTCTTTATATAATATATAATATATTCTAGGTAATAATCCTTTGTCTGAGGAGTAGCTGGTAAAATTTTTTCCCACATTGTAGGTTGTCTTTTAGTTCTACTGATTTTTTTTTTTTTGCAGTGCAGAAGCTTTTTAATAAGATGAGATCCCAGTTGTTGATTCTTTCTGCTAGTTCCCATGCTACTGAGGATTTGTTCAGGAAGTCTTTTCCTATGCCAATGTCTTCAAGAGTTCTGCCTAACTAATCTTCCAGCAAATTTAGTGACTCTTTTTTTAATATTTAGATCTTCAATCCATTTGGATTTTAGTTTAGTGCATGGTAAAATATAAGGGTCTAGTGTTTAATCCTTGGCAGGTTGAAATCCAGTTTTTCCAACAGCATTTATTAAAGAGACTATCTTGCCTCCAGTGAGGATGGTTGGCTCCTTTGTCAAAGATGAGGTAGCTGAGTACATCTGGAGTTGTTTTTTTATCTTCCAGTCCATTCCACTGGTCCTCAGGTCTTTTTCTTTGCTGTTACCATGCTGTTTTTATCACAGTGGCTTTGTAGTATAGTTTCAAATTGGGAATTGTTATACCCACTGCCATGTGTCTGTTGCCTAGGATGGCTTTTGCTATTCTAGGACTCTTCTGTTTCCAAATGAATTTTTTTTATTATTTTTTCTAGTTCTGTGAAATATAGTGTTGAAATTTCAATCACATTGCATTGAATCTGTATAGCAGTTTTGGTAGGATGGCCATTTTCACTATGTTGATTCTTCCTACCCAGGAGGAGGGGATATCTTTCCATTTTCTTATATCCTCTTTGATCTCTTTTTTTCAGAGTGCTGTAGTTTTCACTGTAGAGGTTTTTTGCTGCTTTCATTAGATTGATTCCTAGATACTTCATTTTTTTGGATGCTATTGTGAAAGGAATTGTTTCCCTAATTTCTCTCAGTGAGTCTGTTATTTGTGTACAAGAAGGGTATTGATTTTTGAGTGTTGACCTTGTATCCAGCCACTCTGCAAAAAGTGTCAATTAAGTCTTGAAGTCCTTTGGTGGAAATTTTTAGGTCTTCAATATAGAGTATCATATCATCAGCAAATAATGACAGTTTAATGTCTTCCTTGCCTATTTTTATTGCTTTAATTTCTTTCTCTTGTCTAATTGCTGTGGCTAATGTTGCCAGAACTATATTGAAGAGGAGTGGTTATAGTGGGCTAACGTGAAGGTTTTCAGTTTTTGGCCATCTAATATGATATTGGCTGTTGGTTTTTCATAGATAAACTTTATTAAGTTGAGATATAGACCATCTATTCCAATTTTTTGCAGAGTTTTTATCATGAATGGGTGTTGAATTTTGTCAAATGCTTTTTCTGCATCTATCGAGAGGATCATAATGGTTTTTGTCCTTAACTCTGGTAATATAGTGTATTACATTCATTTACTTATGTATGTTGAACCATCCTTCCATCCCTGGAATAAATCCGACTTGGTCAGGATGTATGATCTTCTTGATGATCCTCTGTATCCTGTTTGATAGTATCTTATTAAGGATTTTTGCATCTGTATTCATTTAGGAGATTGGCCTGTAGTTCTCTTTTTTAGTTGGGTCTTTTCCCAGTTTGGGAAGCAAAGTGATACTTGCTTCCGGGAATGAATTTGGAAGTATTGTTTCCCTTTCAATTTCATTGAAATGTTTAAAGGTAGTGGCAGTGGTTCTTCTCTGAATGTCTTGTAAAATTCAGCAGTGAATCCATCAGGACCTTGGCTTTTCTTTGTTGATAAACTTTTAATTACATTTTCAATTTCACTGATTGTAACTGGGGTGTTTAAAATTTTTTTATCTTATTCGTTCAACTTTGGTAATTCATAAGTATCTAGAAATCTGTCCATTTCTTCTGTGTTTTCCATTTTATTAGAGTATAGGTTCTTAAAATAGGTATTGACGAACCTCTGGATTTCTTTTGGATCTGTTGTGACTTCACTTTTTTCATTCCTAATTGCATGGATCTGAGCCTTTTCTTTCCTTTTGATAAAGTTAGCTAAGGGTTTATCGATTTTATTTATTCTTTGCAAAAACCATCTCTTCGATTCATTTATTTTTTGTATTGTTTTCTTAGTTTCCATTGCATTGATTTCTGCTCTCATCTTTATAATTTCCTCTCTTATATGCGTTTTGGGTTTTTCTTGCTCTTTTTCTAGGAGTCTAAGATTCATCATTAGGTTGTTTATTTGAACTCGCTTTGTTTTCATAGTGTGGGCGGTCATTGCTATGAACTTTCCATGTAGAACTGCTTTCATTATGTCCCATAGATCCCTGTATGTATGTTGTATTGACATTATCATTTATTTGTAAAAACTGTCTAATTTCTTCTTTAATTTCCTCTGTGACCCATTGATTGTTCAGGAGAGTGTTGTTCAATTTCCATGTGTTTGTGAAGTTCTTTTGGTTTCTTATGCTGTTGATCTCCAGCTTGATTACACTATGATCTGATAATATACAGGGGATAACTTCGATTCCTTTGCATTTATTCAGACCTTTTCAATGAGCTAGTGTAATGGTCTGTCTTGGAGAATGACCCATGTGCAGCTGAAAAGAATGTATATTCTGATTTTGTGGGGTGGAACACTCTATAGACATCTAAGTCCATATGTTCAAAAGCTTGGTTCAGTTCTAGTATTTCGTTGTTGATTTTTTGCCTAGATGATCTATTTGTGATAGTGGGGTATTTAGGTCCCCCACTACAATTGTATTAGCGCTTATTTGGTTTTTCATGTTACTTAATATTTGTTTTATATAGTTGGGGGCATTAATATTTGGTGCATATGTGTTTATGATTGTCATCTCTTCCTCTTGAATTGTTCCCTTTACAAGGATGGGATGTAGTAGCCTTCTTTGTCTCTCTTAATTAGTTTTGGTTTGAAATTTACTTTGTCTGCAACTAAGATAGCTACCTCTGCTTTTTTCTGGGCTACTGTCATATGGAGAATTGTTTCCATCCTTTCACTTTCAGTCTGTCAGCTTATTTTTGCACTAGGTGTGTTTCTTGTATATAACATATTGTTGGATTTTGCTTCTTAATCCATTCTGCCAGTCTGCTTCTCTTGATTGGTGAATTGAGGCCATTGACATTGATGGTTATAACTGATATGTACTGACTTATTATTGTC